CCTTCCTCAGTTACTGTATCATCATTGAGCTTTGATCCCGCATCTTCCCTTTGCCCTACCACCATAGTCTTGTCCCCGACACAACCATCCGTTGGAAAGCCTACACCTGATCGCTAGCCGCTGTTCATATGACCTCAAAGTCGATAGCTCGCGACGCTACCACATTGACCTCATCAGCTCGAAGTTGAGCCCACCAAACCCACAAGCCTCGGTCAATTGTCCTGAGCGCAACTTTGGCACTCGTAACCGCGTCAGGTCCCACACTGATCAATCGCAGTATAATTGACCGACAGAAGTGAGCATCGTATAGTACTTTCTGCACGTATCACGGCCCCACCCAATCTCAGTACAAGCTGTACCGAATATACGCACCTTCATAATCCTTTCTTTCTCCTTCTGCTTTGAAGAGCCGCTTCCTTGCAGATTCATTCTCACCTGCCACTGAGCCGAAGCTCTGCCAACGCAAACGAGTGCGATCAAAGTGGGCAATATTCGACGGTCGACTTTCCCCGACGAAAAACCCACCGTCTTGTTGCTCTATCACACGCCAGCCACAGTGTTGTTGCTACACGCGAGAGCCCCTACATACAATTCACACGGCTAAGTGGCTCCTGAGCTGAGCAGTTGAGCGCAGCATATAAGCGGTTGGCGCCCACCTATTTTACTCTGCAAACTAGTCACCACACTCTCTACAATACCAATCGCATTTGTCACTACTTCTCCACCCAACAAGGCAACAGATTCCATCAGTGTAGCTTGGCGTCATCCACGCTCGTCTAGACCATGTCGTCATCCATCGCAGCCAACTCTGGAAGAAACACCCTCCGACGAGCGAAGTCCAAGCCCGCCTCGGCTTCCAAATCAACCACAGATCCGCTTTCCATAGCTCTCCAGCCACCTTCCAATGAGACCTCGGCCGAACGTTCTGCTAGATTGCTTGCTGAAAAGCAAGCTAAAGCACATAGCGACGAGATCGACAAACTTCTCCGAACTACCGATCTTGCCGCGTTGCCTGCTCATGTTGCGCTCCCAACCTCAGAAGGTAGGGCCAGCTCGAAAAAGGGCCGAGTTTACAAGATGGTCTTGCTGGGTCAGGCTGGAGCCGGCAAAACGACAATTTTGAAGCAGATGAGGCTGCTGTACGATCCCGCGGCACATGAGCACGAGAGGAGGGGCTGGATCCGGATCGTATTGCTCAATCTCACCAATAGCGTCCGAGTTCTTCTGCAGACACTAGATAGGTATCATGAGGAACGGGCGGATAGGAAATCACTTGAGTTCAGCAGATTGGAGAGTCCAGCAGCGCTAGGAGACGTGGTCAGTGGAGAGAATGCCGCTGATATTAGCATCGTAGTTCGGTCGGCAATTAAGGACGATGACATGAAAACGAATGGCTTTCCATGCAAAGAGCATATACCGAGCTTGGTGGAATTGGAAAGGATGCTGAGGGCCGAGTTGGGGGCTTTCGGGGAAGAAATCGTGGTGCCAGCCAGCGGTGCGTCCGTGATCACTTCGGCAACCTTGACCAAGAATAGAGACAAGAGCCCTTTACTGCTGAAGCCAGGGTGGCAAGAACGACTCTTCGCTTACGCCCGCCGCTCATTCTCTGCCTCTCAGCCACCTCAATCATCTTCCTCCACTTCTTCTGATCCCGAGACCAAGGTGTCTACTCACAACACCTCTCGATCTGAGTATGACGACGAGAATAATTTCGCTTTAAGTCTTCTCCGTAGCATCCAGCCTTCCGTCCTTGCATTGTGGAACACAAATGCAGTCGTCCGAGCGCTTCGCAAGCGAGGATTCTTCCTCGACAGCCAAAATGACTCTGCTACATCCTTCTTCCTCGATTGCTACACTCGCATCACTAGCCCCGGCTACATTCCCTCGGACGAAGATATTCTACATTCGCGAGTGCGAACTTTGGGCGTGACGGAAGAGTTTTTCCGCGTCGAGCGTTCGCTCATCTATCGGATCTACGATGTTGGTGGTTCACGCTCGCAACGGACAGCTTGGGCACCCTTCTTAGATGATGTAGATGCGATCATCTTTCTCGCGCCCTTATCTGCCTTTGATCAACCACTGGTTGAAGATCCAGCAACGAACCGTTTGGCAGATACTTTTGCATTGTTCAACCAGATCGTCAGCAATCCGCTGTTGAAGAAGGCCACGGTGATTCTGTTTTTGAACAAGATCGACTTGCTCGAGAAAAAGTTAAAGGGTGGGGTGAGGTTGAACAGGTACTGGGGCGAGTATGACGGGGATAACGACTTTGAGGCTGTTTGGAGGTGGTTCAGGGGCAAATTTAGGGACTGTGTACGTATGGCAGAGGATGAAATAGAACCAGGAGGAAACAGAGGCGAGGGTGGTGGGAGGACAAAGAGAAGGCTGTACGTCCACACCACGATCGCTACAAGCACCAAACAGATCAGAGCAATCTTGATGAGTGTTAAGGATTGTATTCTAAGGGAGAACTTGAAGATTACTGGTCTCGTTTCTTAATGTCAAGTCAGCAGCAGCAGCTAAAGGGCATCGAGTTGCTTGTTGTGCTTCGATCACGGATGACTGGGCAAGCTTAAGGATGCGACTAGATCGTTTCCACTCATTCCTCGAAAATGACCCGTAATCCAACAAGATGGGTTACATCGATGGGGATTCTATGGAAGATTGTGTCGCTCTTCTTCCTATGTTCACCACCGTCATAACTCAGACCACTTCACAGAGGATTGAGTGATTAGAAATGAGCTCAGTGTATGAAAAATAAGAGATTTAAAGAAGGTCTGCGCCAGACAGAGTGTTTTATTGTCTTTACAGGCGCGGATGCATCCCTTTGAGCCAAGTCTTTTGGACACTGTCACCGTCATTTGTTGACCCTGTTTGTCTTGCCTAAGATCTAGAGAAATCGCCTTCTTTTCAAGCTTGTCTGTGAGACGCTCACATTCTTAGAGCAAACTGTACGGTAACGCAACATCCAATTCCATCATGTACAAGAGAGGCCATGTGAGCAATCTAGATGCACAATGATCGTAAGACGCTATGGTCTTGTTGCAGGTCCATGTGTGTTGAGCAACGCACCAAGATGGGAAGCAGGGAGATGATCATTGACTTGCTTTAGCCCTTTCTACAATCAGAAGACTGTAAGTATACTGAATATGCCGAATTCATCTGACGATCCGAATTTTCCCTCCCCTTTCTTCCATTCACTTAGGGTTTCGCTTTCGATCAACTATGAAATACCTTTCCTATCTGAGTTCTATCCAATCCCTTTTCATCATACTGAAATTTCCGTCACTTTCATAAAGTCGAGTTCACTATCCCGATATTCTCCTTCTCTTTCTACCTCTCCCTAACTCTCTCACTCTTCCTGAAGTTTCCACTGTCACCAGCTTCAAATGTCTCATTGTCAAGAGACGGAGAGGGGGGGGGAGAGAAGAAGGGAAATGGATTTCCGAAGCAAGGGCACCTTCGGCAAGCACGGGGTTAAGACGGCAGCGCTCATTTGGCAACGGCTAACTTTTAGCGGAACGGACAAGAAGAAGACATTTATTGTATGAATTCTTTGGCACTGCTTGAAGGGTCGGTCTTCATACCTCATCATCCCTCAACACGAATACTTGTGACGTTGTTCAGCTAAAAGTGACATTCTCCTTTGTCGAGAATGCGGAGAATTCATTCTGGTTTAGGCCGGAATGTTGTGACTTCAAAAGAAGCATGTGCCTCTTCGAAACGCACACTACTACGAATTCCATTTGAATCAAGATGCATTCATTTGAACATAGACGGAACTCATGGAATTAGTAGTAGTGTTGGAAAAAGTTCTGGGAATGTTTTAACAAGTTCTCGCAAGGTTAGCAAACACAACAGTGGCTACGACAAATGCCTTGCTCCCAGGGATGCAGACCAACATGGCCGGTTTTGACGCTCAACATTTGCCTTTTGCTGGTTGGACTTGGCAGGTCACTGTAATGTACTGTGCTGTATCTCATCGTTGTTTTCGTACTTTTCTTGTTCCTGTATTCTACTGATAGAAAAAACCCTTGTCAATTCTTTTTGTTTGGCGAGAAAGTTGCCTTTTATATGAACATATAAGTGTATATCTGTTGATTCATAGCGATCAGGAGGAGAAAATCAAACACTATTGACAAGATAATAGAAAACCATGAACAATCTAGAGACTTCAGGGCAATGCCTGCAATAACATCAAGACCTTAACCAGCAGCTCAAATTTCTTTACAGTTTATGCCAGATCTTGCTGATGATGGTCATCGTCATGCATTGCCGTAAGCCAGAGTTGAGGCCAAGACCATCCTTGTCTTTGCAAACGGCGAAGGAAAATTGACAAAGACGTATCCGATCATGCAGGGCTTCCTTGTGTTGCAATGTCGGAGCCCCTTAAAGGTGCAGGCAAATCTTGGCCAAGAACAGGTGAGGGCGGGCCCTCTTTTTCAATGGTCGTATGTCAGGTCTCTTGATGTTTGCATACCAGAGAGGATGTTGCAACCATCCCTTCCAGCACAAAATGGACCGCCTTCATGTTGTTTTAGATTTGATGGAGTGCAGAAGAAAGAGAGTTTCCCCACTCCAAGTATTAAGCACGCACAGGGAAAACAGAACCAAAAAACTGAAAGAGTGCTTCAGCTCCAAATTGTCGACCAAAATGGACGCCTCAGCAAAAATGTGGGGGATAACGATGTAATTTAGATCACTGTATTTAGACGCGCGTTCGCCGCGCATCCCCTTGAAATTCCACCACCATCCCCCTAGACCTAAGCGTGTACACAAACAAACCTTCAACTGAAAATGGTCAACCTTACAAAATTTCTTGGCAGGGTTCAATTTGGACAAATTTGTCGGAAGCTTTTGGCTGAGAGATTTTCTTTGCTGGTTTTTTTGAGCATTTTCAGAACTCACATCATATCCCACCGTTCCCGCTATCCAATCCTCTTTGAATTTCACCTTCGTTGTCATGGATTTGATGGAATGTGGAGAAAAAATGGCAAAAACGACGCCTACAGGATTTGAACCTATGCTCCCAGAGGGAATGGCATTTATGTTGAGTAGATATTTACCCTAGAAGTGTAATGGCATTCAGCCTACTTCTAGTGCCACGCGATAACCACTCCGCCAAAGCGCCTTTTTTACAATTTGACCGGCAAGTATATATATACGCCTTTTTAGGAACCAGATTGCCGACTGGAGCAGAGATACTGCGGACTTGCTTTTCAGCATTGCTTTGTTACACGCAACAACTTGAACCCCGCTCTAATGCATGATATCCGCTGTTTCTGGACTACATTCTTGCACAAGAGAGAAGGCAGCGCAGAGTGACAGGCAAACAGTGATGGAAAAAATGAAGAAAAGGTTTCGGTCAGACGAAACCAAAAAGGGGGCCAACCCGGAATCGAACCGGGGACCTCTGTCAACTTAGTGCAACCTCGGAAGAGGGAAAAGCCCTAAGACAGCATAATAAGCCACTATACGATTGGCCCACGTGGACGTGTGTTTAAGACGTAACAGTCAAATATAAACGTGCTCTGAGTAAATTTGGTAATACGGACTGTACGAACAAAGAACAATCTTCAACCTTGCCTTCTCTTTCCATCATCGGGACTTTGTGTCTGTGTCTCCTTGTCAGACGCTGCAACCTTGTCAACGGTCAGAGATGTATAGCTTTCGCCTACACAACGATGCCGTGCATTTCAGTGTTGTACAGCACGACATTTGCACTCTGGACTTTTCAAGGCCAAGACCATTTTTGTCTGAACTTTCCCATCGCCCTCGTGCCACGAGGCTACCCAATGTCAGCGGCTCCACACATTGCCATCTTGACCCGAAGCTGCCAGCTCAAACGTTTCCACGGTCCTGTCGAACGGCAAGCCGCATCTTCAGTCTCGTCCACTTTTCAAGGTAATGGACAGGATCAATCCTCATCAAACAAAGTGCGCAACCGTACATGTAATCGATGTTGAAAAGATATTGACATTCCAGAGGCATGGAAAACCTGAGATCGAATCTTGATCTCCTCTGGGCAGGAAAGCTCTTTTAACCAAGAGTACGTATGACCGTGCCTGCACTGTACCTTGTGAATAGAAAAGTCAGCGTCTTCTTACACCACCGAGAACGAAATCCCATCTAGACCCAGGCACACGTAGGTGTACCAACCTCTTCAACTCTGTCCACTGTACCGGCCTGACCACTCCGCCATCTTCGGCTTCTTGCTCTGTGGTAGTACGGATGCTGTTGACGAGCTTCAAGAAGTCATTCTGCGCCGACAACGCCTTGGCTTTGTCCTGTTGTCCAACAGCTGCAGCATTGAGCTTCTTGGTCAACTTGGAGAGTTTCGATTTGGAAATCTTCTGATCTGCATCCGTATCCGTCGTCGTCGTCGTTTGTGGATGTGGGAAAGGCTTGTCCTTCGAAGGAACCAAAACGAAGTCTGCTGGAGCCAGAGTTGACCTCACCAACGATCCCAATAAGAACGCAGCGATTGCGACCAAGAACAGAGTGGAGAAGCCGAAATGAGTCTGTTGGCTGAAAAGCGAACCGACGGCCGAAACACCATCTTTTGCTAGTTGAGCCACTGTGTTCCCCGCCTCAGCAACCGCTTCTCCTGCACTACTCGCCCCTTTGTTCTCCTCCCCTCTTCCTTCGCCGTTCGCTTTGACACCCTTATCACCACCTGCACCAGATGAAGAAGATTTTGAATCTTTACCATCACCAAGCTTGCCGCCTAAGCCATGCTTGGCTCGATCCTGAGCAGCAAGTGCCTCGGCATTCGTTCGAGCACTGGCATTCGAGGCCACGTTGCTCCCTTTGGCGGTGACCGAAGACACCGAGGTCAAGGAAGATGCGAGGACTGAACCAGTGCCTAAGCGGGACAAAGGGTAGCTGCCAAACATGCTCCCGAATATTTGGGCGCCTGTGGAGGTGGTTGTTGGTGCCATGGGGGCAGAAGGGGTTGAAGAACGTGAAGGAGGGGCTGAGCCTGCATTGGAGTTGCCTGCTGAGCCGGATGAAGGCGCTAGGCTTCCGGTTTGCTTGGGTACTTGTCCTGTGGATACATCGACACACGTGGTGGCTGGAATAGAGCCACCGGCAGCAGTTGTGGATTTGGCTGTCTTTGAGTCGATTCTAGCGCCAGTGACAGGATCATGGAACTCCAAAAGCTCTCTGCGGCTGGCGATAGGCTTCCGCAGTGCAGCTGGCAGCCGTATATCATCTCGAAGAGAAGCATTATCCAAGCCTGATTTGCGACCAGACTTGGGTCTAGGTGGCGCAGTCCTCTTCAACTGCGTCATGGGCTCCACACCAATCTGCTCCTTCTGCAACATTAAAGACGTCTGATTCACGTGTACAATATCCAACTTGGCCTCCCCACTCTTCACCGGCACCTTACCTGTCGGCGTCGCAAAGGCCGTGACTCCAGTCCCATCCTTTGTCGTGGCCTCTGCTCCATCCGAGTCACCAGCTTCAAGCTTGAGTGGCTTGATTACCATCCGCAAGGCCGCGCCACGTTCGAGCAAAGACGTATACCAAGAAGGTGTTTCGGGAGCCTTGGAGCCGGTAAGCGGGTCTTCCACCGGATCGAGAAAGACGGTTGTTGGCACCGTGACCCGAACAAGATGCTTGCGTGGACGAGCAGAAGGGTCGAGAGTTGCTGCAAGGACAGCGCTGGGGGGAAGATCGTACACTTTCAGTTGCACGGGAAGATCTCTGCTCATATCCGAGGCCATATCGAGCGAGAGCGCTTCTTGCTTGTGTCCACTCTTCCCAGCTGCTGCAGTCTTGTTTTGTGCAGATGTGTTCGCGCTACCATTCGGCGTTCCCGGCCGTTCTGGGCCATGCGCGCTCGACCTCGTGGAATCGACAGGAGCAGCAGCACCGCCCACAAATTCAGAGTACACCTGAATGTCGTAGCCCTTGGAGTAATGCCTCAACTCCACCTCAACTTCCATCAAGATCAGGTCTGTAGCATTCCTCGAGTCTATGTGAATGGAACTTGGCCTTCTCGTAATTGTCGACGCCGTGCTGTTGGCGCTTGTGCTCGTGATAGAATGCATGCTCGTAGCTCTCGAAAGACCTGAGTCCTGATCACCGCTCGAATTCACCGGTGGTGCTGTCGAGCCTAGCATGGGTGTGCCCGGGGCGGCATCAATGGCCTGTGTCAACTTTTCAGCTACGGCCTTGGTCATCGAGGCGTTGGATGTGCTTGATGGTCGACCTTTCCCGTTGGCCACTATGGAAGCTGCCGGCAACAGCCCTGACGCTTGTTCGCTCGCGCGAGAAGGGGATGTAGCACGATGCATGCTCACAGCGACGAAAATTCTCGCGCTAGGATCAAAGCTGGTTGAAAGGAATAGATTCTTCCTGTCCGGATGATTCATTGACCAAACAAGGCCTTGATCCTCGTCTCTGCCGTCACCCAGCACCTGCAAGCACGGTGGCGGAGTTTTCACCGATGGAATCGAGCCTCTGGCCTTCAGATAGTCTTCCACCAACAGCACCGATCGCGGCAAATTTGCGTTCCAAATCGTATTCACTGCCACCGGCAAGCTACCCGCGTAGTCGATCGCAACCACGTGCGTGCATCGCGTCGAGGGAATCTGAAAACTAGTCGAGCTGTAAGGATCCAACGTCTCCAAAATCCACCCATCGATCAACACTTTGCCTAGAGGCAATCCACCCGGATTGATGCGATCTACAGCAAATCGCGAATTCTGTTGTGGAAAAGATGCCGATGCGTGAAAGTAGACGGCGGGGCCAGTCCAAGACGAGGCTGAGCTCGAAATGGCGGCGTCACCTGGGCTTGCCGCGGAGAGACTAGAAGGGGGAAGTCCGCGTGCGGTCAAGCTTGCTAGATAGAATGCTCGGCCTCGGAAAGGGAAGCTTGCTTTGGTGGTGATGAAGGAGGTGAATGAGCCATCACCATAGCTCTCGAGTAGGGTGGTGGACTCGACTTTGTCGTCCCACTGCTTGCGACTGCGTGGATTGGAGATGACGTCGAGCAAATCCTCTGCGGATAGACCTTGCACGACCTTGTCACCACGTTGAACCAGGACAGTGCTCGAGATGGATTCCATGAGCTTGCGACGAACGTAGAGACCATTGCGTTCAGTGACGAGACCCCATCCGGCGGGTGTACCAGCTGGATCGGGAGAACGTTCGGCATGGATACGCCTTAGCAGGAAGAGGACGTCAAGGGCACACGTCATGGGCTGACGTGGCGTCTCATCAGAGAAGGGAATTGGTGTGATCGCAGTCGTAGCCGGGACCGCGGAATCCTGTTTGCCAGCTTCGTGGCTTCTGCTGGACTCGTTGCCTGCTATCGTAGCTACAGAGGCACCTGCAGGATCCTCATGGTCGCCAACACCGTTTGCAGATGAAGCTGGCTGCTGAGACGTATGTTGCTCGGTTGCGGCCCCAGCTCCTGTTGCTGGCGTGCCAGGCTCGGCAGCAGCAGCTTTGTTGGCTGCGGTGGTATCCTCACCAAATTTGCGAGCTGAGCTGACCAAGTCTAGAGGAACTCGTTGAGGTTTCGATCGCTTTTGCCGACTGAGTTGTTGCACCTGCTCGTCATTGAGCTCGTCCACATCGACCTTGATGCTCGCGCCATTGACATGCACTGATCCTTTTTCCCTTGCATTGCCCTTGCGAATGATAACCCGAGCTGCATCATCTTCGAGCGAAGCCGCCGCGTGTTCGATGGTGAGCCAAAGGCCACCTCCGCCTTGCGAGAGCTTGTGCCTCCTTAAACACGATATTGCGATGGGCGGTGGGTCGACGACCAGATCCAACGAAGTGGCCCACGTCTCGACATCGCACCGAATCTCGCATTCGACATTTGGGGCGTCGTTCAGCTCATCGTCCGCCGGTTTATCGCTGGCGTACTCGACGCGGAAAGTGGCTTTCTCGTGATCGTAACGAGAGATCTTGGTCTTGGCTCCCAGCATACGCGTCAAGACGGGCGGACCCCCGAACTTGATCGCGTACTCGCCAACACCCGCAACAGCGCCAACCATGGCAGACGGTGTTGCCGATTTGCTCGTCCAGCCTTTGGGGTCCGACTGCTCCAGCATGGTGACGTGGACCGTGGTTGGCGACAGAGCTTCCACCGACCAGCCGCGCAGATCGACT